GAGCATATACTTAAATATTTGTATCTATAAAAAAGAATGAATAAATATAAAAATGTCTTAAAATAATTGTCAGACTTTGTCCATTTCTATAATATGTGTGTGTGTATATATATATATATATATATATATATATATATATGTGTGTGTTTATGATTTATATATATTATATATATATATATATATATATATATATATATATATATATATATGTAATGAGTCCCTAATAAGTTTGTTCCAATGAATGGCAGAACAGGGATTGAGAGGGATAGTGAAAAATCAAACCTTACTAAGTGCTACCAAAAACAGGAAATTGTGGAGAACCATGATCGTGTACATCCTGAAGGGATCCAGAACATGGAAAATTTTGAAACAAAGCCAATAAATAGGTGGCTATCAGCTGCTGATATTAAACTCTTAAAACACAAATTCAGAGCAGAACCTGATCACAAGCAGTGGAAACTTGTAAAAATGGTAGAGTCATTATAAGATACTCTATGTTGAGCATAAGCTTAATACACATTTGATTAAAAAAATGAAAATACTTTCTATATGCACTAATAAAATTAAGTCTGGTGCAGTGGTTCCCAAACTTTTTTTAGCTACTTCCCCCACCTAAGCATCTCTAAAATCTTGACAAGAAACCACTGTAACATATAACTGTGATTATTCAAAAAGTGAACTCTTATTCACAGGGAGGAAGCCTAAAATGCCATTAACTTGGTCTAATAAAAGCTTCCAAAAACATGGTGTCCTTTGGGTATTTTTATTTTTACTTTCAAAGTAAAAATAAAATACCCAAAGGAGAAAAAGAAAAAAACAGAAAGGAAACTAAATTACTAAGAAATTGTTAAAAAACAACAAATTCTTTAATTTAATTATGAAAGACATTTGATCGTTGAGATTATGGTTATATATATATATATATATATATATATATATATATATATATGTATGTATCAATCCTAGTTTTATGTATGAGTGGCCAGCTGAGAGAACTGACTAAACACCCCATGACTTTTTTCTTTGGGGTTGGTTAAAGAAGCAAGTCTACTATACTAAACCAAGACTTGAACTTGAAGGGTGAATACAGGAAGTTATGCCTTCCATATCACAAGAGTTACTGGTGAAATCACCTGACAAAATTTGGTGTCCATTTTGTAATTTTGAATTTTAAATAAAACCTCATGCAAAATGGTTTCCTCTGATATGCATTTATTATAAAAATTATAGTTAAGTATTTTAAAATGGGGAGTTATGTTTCTATCACCCTGTATATATATATATATATATATATATATATATATATATATATATATATATATATGTGTGTGTGTGTGTGTGTGTGCAGGTATGTATAAAAATAGGAAAGAACACAAATAATCCAGGGTTCTTTAGTATTTTTGTTTTTATTTTATAAAAAACAGTGCTCCATACAGAAGTAGAGCTTAGATTATAATTATTTTAAAAAAAATATGATTCCTTTGCTACGTAAGAGTTCTCATGTTTCAAAAATGAGAGCTGAAACCGTCAATATAATTATTAAAATTAAATTGAATTAAAGTAACAAGACCAATTTCATCCTCAAGCGAAAATTTATGAAACAGGGCTTGTTACTTTAATTCAATTTAATTTTAATAATTATATTGATGGTTTTGACTCTCATTATTGAAACATGACAACTCTTATGTAGCGAAGGAATCATATTTTTTTAAAGCTAATTATAATATATATATATATATATATATATATATATATATATATATATATATATATATATATATATATATATATATATATACATACATACAATATATAAATATAAATTTAAAAAACTTTATTAAATGGATATGTAATTCCTCTTATTAGTGGTACTATATTTCAATATACCTTTGTATACTCTCACAAGTTTCCTTGAGAATTTGAGACTGTATATATGCAATTGTATTTCATTGAATTTTAAAAGTTTACAATATTTATAAAAATAGTGTGTTACTTATATATTATATATAGTACATCCCAGTGTGCAGCACCTTGGGAAATGCCTGAAAACTATACCACAGGTTAACTCAAGCCTTGTGAGTGAAACTGAGTAGGTGGAACTCTTGGAGGCTGTCGATAGCTATGCTAGCACAACGTCACAAGTCATCATGGCCGAGGGCTTCAGCATGATAGCTTTGTTTAAATTGTTGATCACACTAGATAACATGCTCTCCTCCAGAAACTGTAACTAAAGTCTGCTCAGCATAGTTGCAGTATAAACCACAGGTGCGCTCTGTGGGTGTTGAGCAAACACAAATGTGCCTGAGCATCTGCAATAGGGATTGGCTAACCACCCTAGCAGAAGGTATCATTGAATACAAGTGGCCAGCTATTATTAATATATATAGTACATATGTAATTGTCCATTTACATACATACATGCAAATATTTTTATGCATGTATACTGTATGTACAGTGTATATATTAACTCACACACACACACTCATGTTGACATAGACTCACTAGAAAAAATTCACTGTTACGTCATTCTCAAATTGCTCCTTTATATTTTTTTAATCTGTATGTGACTTCATTTGCAGTACAAAAAGGTTCTCCTGTCACTGAAGGTGACTCTTATACCTGAGCAATAGTGTGTTTGAATTTCATAGCTGTGTTGTCATATCCTGCTATGGTAACATAAAACAACTTTGAGTGAAATTAACAGTGAAGATACTGCAATTGAGAAGCTATGAAAAAGAATACAGTGGAATTGGAAGTAATATTAATAATGCAGCATGCTAAAGGTTAAAAATCAAATTGCCCCGTGTGGGCATGCACCCAAATTGAGAATCATAGGTCTAGAGAAATGAGATTAAGGATGAAAACTGAAAGGACAATGTAGTCATGTTTCTTGAACCTGGAATTCTAGATCAAAGAGCTAAGAATTTTCAGGGCTTATTTTCCTTCATTATGTTTTGATTGAGAAAAGATTTAACCAATGGGATAAAATAAATTAGATCAGTTCAGATTTAATGATCAAAGTAGACTTTCAACTATTTCTCTTTCTCTTTGTAGTTTTTACTTCAATATTAGGCTCAGATTCCTTCACAGTAGGCAGAGGCAAATCATGGTCATAGCATGATGGCCAAGAATAACAACAATGTCACTAGCCACCATCAAAGATAGATCTAAAATAAATGTTCTGAGCCACCAAACGCAATTTATAGCTGAACAGAGACTGCTGCTAATGCTCAACCCTACCCAGAATGCCCAGCAAAGATCAGATCCAATTTGAACCATTCTTTTCAAGTATCTCCCCACAGTCAACTCTAAACCCCTACTACTGATGCTGTGCTGCACATTGCCAACCCCAGACTCACTTTGCATCTAATTCCCTCTGAGTGCATCCATCATCTCAAATGTTTCCTTTGATGTCTGCCGGGCCTCAAACTGTCTGTTTTTTCTGTTTTATTTCATTTGAAAGGTCAAGCCAGTTGAACTGACAAGGCGGGAGATTCCTCCGGGCAATGAGAAGGAAAACTTAAGCAAGTAATAATGAGGGAAAGATGTAATGGAAAGTCAGAAGACTGGGGAAGGGTTTTCAATCTGTCAATGACAACAATCAGAACCACAAATTTCTGGAAATTCAAATGAAATCAGTGTGATAATTATAGGATTATATATATATATATATATATATATATATTCTATATTCCTATTAAATTTAACCATCATCTTTTTTAAATGATGAATAATCTTCTGATAACTTGACTACTGTAGATGCAAAAATATTCCAAATCAAGGCTGTCTGTGTGTCCTCCATCCATCAATCTATGAGAGGGGTGCTGAAAAAGTTTCACTTTGACAAATTGATGTAATGGAATAACCTGTCACCCCTTGAGTGACTACACTATAGGTAGTAACTACCTATAAGTTTCTGTAAGTCAATGGACTACAGAGTCTAGCTGGGATCTGTTGAGTCCAACTGAGACTTACGTGAAAACTACCAACCTTCCTATAGTAGCACACACTACTGGATTGACATGTGATGACCTTGTGCATAACTGTTACCTTTATTCTTATTGTACTGTTTTTTACAATAAACTTTTACTTATTTTATCCACCGTGTTGTTCAAGTATATATTCCTATTAGCATGGAATATAATACAAATCTTTGAAAATCTGATCAAATGACCAAGTCTTAGAATATATTTTGAAGGGATTCTTATTTGAGCTAAGAACTTTTCAGCACCCCTGGGACCTATCTATTTATTTATCCCAGTTTATATTTATCATGTTATTTATATAATCTAGTTAATTCATATCTATTTGGGCTTCAGGATATTTTGCGAGGATAACAGATTTAACAAACAAGAGAAATAGATATTTTAGGATAATCATAAAACGATCAACAAATAAAAACAAATGCTACAACCTCATTAAACTCAGAATTTCTCTTATATTAATTTGGTATAACAAGCCTAAACCAATCAGGTTCTTGAAAGAAAATATGCATAGACATATCCATACATAAAATATAAGCATAATAGCTATTAGTGTTTCTGCTAAGGAAACAGTATCTTAGAAGAAACATTATTGATTTCTCCACAATCTGTTCATATGTATTATCTGTAAATTTAAAAAAAAAGAAGTGTTTTGAAATGCAGCTGGTCAAAATGAATTGAATCTACCTGCAGTATCTGGCTAGCTTCCTTCTGGAGTGTTACCAAATTTCACACATGAAGGAATATGAAGAATAGGACTTCATCTTTCCAAACACCTGTTCCAAATGGCATGAGACTTTTCACCAGATCTTCCTTTCTTTCCTCCAAAAAGGTCATTAACCTGTATGTTAGGAGTTATTCTCAAAGCATAATCAATCTATATTGCTGTCTTTGTTCATCTCAGTATCTTTATTTATCTGGGTCTCCACTATCTATCTCTACTTGTCAGTTCAAATCTATTATCCATCTCAGTCTGTTCATATCTCTCCTGGTTTGTTCATATCTAGCTAACTATCTATGCATCCCAGTCTTTTCTTACCTAGCTATCTATCTATCTCAGTTTTTCATATCTATCTCATTTTCTTCCTATCTATTTCTCTCTCTCTCTTTTATTTTCTTCCTGTCTATGTATATATCTATTTATCTATCTCATTTTCTTCCTATGTATCCATACATTCACTCATTCTATCTTTCTACCTATCCATACATTCTTTATCTTTCTATCTCATTTCATTCTCTCATTTTCTTCCTATCTATCTCATTTCTTTCTATCTATCTATCTATCTCATTTTCTTCCTATCTATCTATCTATCTATCTATCTATCTATCTATCTCATTTTCTTCCTATCTATCTATCTATCTATCTCATTTTCTTCCTATCTATCTATCTATCTATCTCATTTTCTTCCTATCTATCTATCTATCTATCTATCTATCTATCTATCTCATTTTCTTCCTATCTATCTATCTATCTCATTTTCTTCCTATCTATCTATCTATCTATCTATCTATCTATCTATCTATCTATCTATCTCATTTTCTATCTATCTATCTATCTCATTTTCTATCTATCTATCTATCTATCTAATTTTCTTCCTATCTCATTTTCTCTCTAAGTATCACAGTCTTTTTCTCTCTATTTATGTAACTTTGTCATTGTCTTTATCTATGTCCCTTCATTTATATTGAAAAGTGTTTGTGGTGCAGTGCTAGGTAGTTTCCTAAAATATTCAGTACTCACTGGATGCTCTATAAAAGCTGGTCTTGTGTCAGATTAATCTAAGCTTATAAAATCTCATAAAACACCATATTTTTCAATGCATATAAAAAAAAATATACATCATTGGATGTGACTGAGACACGTTGCCATTGCATGTCACTTATATGACTTTGTGCATTTTGATTTATCGGATGCATTTTCAAACAAAAAGTATAACAATGTTTTCCAAAAAATTAAAGGCTTAAAACATTTTTGAATTTATTTGTCTTACTTTAATTTTTTACCTCAGAAGATGGCTTAAGTGAATTGAAAGCTTGGATACATGCTCGATGTTGGATATTTTTGCATCTGCAGCAACAAGGTTTGCAGAAGGTGATTCAAAGTTTGTAAAAGATGATGGATAAATTCAATAGACATACAATGTCTATTTGTTTTCAATAAAACTTATTTAGAAGAACAATTACTGTCTAATTATACTAAATATGTGGAGTAATTGGTCGGGATTAAGTATAATTGACAAAATCCTTAACAAGCAGAATTAACAAAGATCTCAATAAACAATATAAAAAAAGAAGGAATGGAATTGTGCAAAATAATACTAAGCAAACACTATATATGCATGTCAAAAATAGACAAAGCTACAGTAATAAGACAAAAAGTTTGTTATGGTCCAGTTCCTTGTACCACGGTGATAGTCCAAGGTAGAACCAATAAAGAAGAACTCAAACACAGGTATGGACTAACACAGATATATTACAAACAGGAATATATACAGAGAAGTAGAAGTGTTAGTATGAACAATCAGGTTTAGTAGAGAGAACAATGTAGTCTTGACCAGTATCACTATTCCAATGTCTTGCAGTAATTGTCTGAATGTGACTCTGTTTCGGACCGCCTCTGACTCGACTCTTGACTCGACTTGAACTACTGACTCCTTGCCTACTCCTGAGGCGCAGTATTTATTAAGTATGGAATAGTCCATTATTATTATTATGGGTAAGATCCCAGAACAAAGTTCATTGTGTTCACATGCAAAAAGGATACAGTCAAATGGATATATCGTTCTGAGTTCAAGACAAGAAAGGACAAAAATATAGCAGATGTAACGGAGAATTGTTTATTTTTATTGGTTAGAAAGAAATCAAAGAATACAAATGTATTTTTTTTTGTCTATAAATAAGGGGGTATGTCCTAAGCAAAAATTTCTAGAGAGACTGATACCACCCACTTAATCAAATGGATGAGTGCACTTATATTTCTGAGACCAAAAATTGGTTCATTTTTATTGGTTAGAAAAAGATCCCAACATGCAGCAGGAGTTTTTTTCTATAATTATTATTGTGGTATGTCCTTAGCAAATATTTCTAGAGATATTTATACCACCCCTTTAATCAAATAGATGAGTGCACTGATATGATACTGAGAATTGGTTCATTTGCATTGGTTAGGTAGGAAGAAATCCCAGCATGCATCTGTAGGTTTATAATTTTGGGGATGGGGATGTTCTTAGCAGTCATTCCTGGAGAGGCTGGAGCCAACATCTACTTTGCATAGTTTATTACACCTCCTGAGTATTGAAAGATGAAACATTTTTGCAGATTTTGACATAATTCTGGGGTCATTTTTATGTCCAAATCTATGAATTTGTTTTGCTTATACTAAGTCTCGAAAAAGCAATCTAATGCTGATTTTGTTGAAATTATTCAATTTTTTTAACAAGAAAAATATAAAGTTGATGTTAAAAAATTGCTGCAAAAACATAAGATGGGATGATCTATTATGACATGTCTCCAATTTGTATTTAGATACATTGTATTTATTTTCAATTTTTCTATTGTTCCTCTATATTGCATATAATCCATTATTGTACATAATTAGGTTACAATAAAATTTGTATTTTATATGAATACTACCTTATGAAAATTGAGATGTAGTGGAGTTGGTGGGGAGCTCTATATCATAGATTCGTAGGGTATCTTATATTTGGGTCTGAGCTTTACACACCCTGAGTCAAGTGTCTGTAGTGTTCTGATTTCAAGACAAGAAAGAACAAAAACACAGAGGATGAGAACGAGAAGTAGTCCATGTTATTGGTTAGGAAGAAATCCCAGCATGCATCTCTAGGATTTGTATATAAATTGGGATGGAAGATGTTCTTGGCAGTCATTCCTAGAGATTGGAACCAACAATATATATATATATATATATATATATAACAGGTAGATAAATATTCACATTTATCTTAGTTTGTTACTATCTCTGATCTTTGTGTCTCTTTACATTGTGATTCTTTCTCTAAATCCTTTGGTCTACTCATGCACCTATCGACCTACTCACATATTTTATACAGGCAAGCCAAATCCACCATTTACCAAGACAGCTAGCAATTTAATTTTAAGTGCAAAACAGGTTTATTTTCTCAAGAAAAGTTTCCTTTCTATCCGATTTTGGAAGCAAGAATAGATAAGTAGGCTTTAAAAAGTGGTGGTGGTGGTGGGGGGCAACAAAGGAGACAATGGGAGAAAGAAAATGGCTAAGTAAAATTCCCATCATCCCTCTGTTCCTTATTGAGTGAGGAAGACTGAGTTAAAACAACCCTCTAGAATAAAGGGTCTGCCCACCTTTACAGGATTAATATAGCAGTAAAAGTTCATGTTGCCTTAAGAATTCAGAGTAATTATGGAAAAAAGAAGGGAAAAAAGGACAAAAGCAAAGGAAAGGCTCAGCATAAATATAAAAAAGAACAAAATTTAGAAAGAAAAGAAAAACCTACATTGTATAAGGATTATATATATATATATATATATATATATATATACTTAATTCCAAAATATTTTCTTCCTGTTTTACAATGTGTGTGGAAGGGGGTATTCAACTGTATATGAGTAGTTACACAAATGTGTCTGTACACACACATATATATATATATATATATGTATGCATTATGTAAATTTTATATCTTTTGCCATTTCTAACCACAATTTATTCTGTTCTTTAATCTCTGGCAATTGTAGATTTTTTTCTCTTCTTTTCGACTTTATACATATGCAGACACATTCTCTCTCTCATGCACATACATCCATCGACACACCTATTTTATATATATATATATATATATATATATATATATATATATATATATATATATATTGTACATTTAGGCAACAATCCTTCATTTAAACATGTTCTATTAAATACAATGAACAGAGAATGTTTGTTGAACATTCCGGTAAATTCTTCCTGCCAATTCCATTCTATTTTATGGAACATGTTTAGTAACTGAAAACATAAACAATGATTTCCTCAATCACATTAAAGATATGCAAATCAATTTTTTTTTATTTCCAAATTAAGCAATAATTACGTAGTTCACAGTGATAAATAAGATGAATTCTCTCTAAGGAATATTATAAAAGAAAGCATTACTCAGGTTGAACAAACTAAAAATATGGTGTTAATTATTTATTACAAAAAAATTAAAAACAGCCAACCTTATCATCAGCAGCAACAAGAACCCAGCGAATTTAAGGTCAGTATTATTTATGAGTTCAAATGCCCCATAGGGAAATGCAAATTCATAAACAATTGTGTTGGACATACAGCCACTTGTTTATCAAGGTGGCTGACTCTATAGCTCTCAGTCTATAGTTCCATAAGGGCCCACTTACATCAATATGAAAACCTATCAACTGTAATACACAACGTACTTGTAAAGAACACAAATATGATATGCACCTTTAACAGCAAAATGTGTCTAAAAATAATTGAAGTCACTACAATAAAAACAAACTTTAACAGCATCAATTAAAAACACAGCAACAATGTACTGCCTGTATTTAGAAATTAAAATGTTTAATAGATTATCTGAATGTGCTTAGAATAAGCAATCATTTGAGTAAATCAAAAAAAGAAATCTCGTCTCCATACAAGAAAAATACAAAACATTCAATAAAAAAGAATTAATGGAAGTATAAGTTATTCTTGATGCAATATATATTAGAGAGGTATTGCTGCCTAAATACACAACACTAAAATGTTGTGTAATATCAGTCCTCCTATATGGCAGTGAATGCTGGACAATCTCATCACAACTGACTTGAGGCAACAGAAATGTGGTTCTACAGAAGAATACTGAGAATACCATGGACCGAACATGCGAGCAATGATATATTATAAAGAAAACACAAACACAAAGGACACTTATCCTTAGTGTCAAAAAGAGAGAGGTGAAATTTCTAGGGTATATAATGAGAAAAGATGGCTTGGAAAATTTGACACTCTCAAAAGGCAAGAAGGACAAAGGAAAACAGCACATACCCTACTTGTGGAAATGATTGGCAGAACAGGAATTAAGTGTGATAGCAAAAAGACAAAATTTACTAAGGTCAGTAAATTGTGGAGAGCCGTGATCAGCACATCCTGAAGTGACATGACATATAAAATAATTACTAAGCTTTACTTAACCTAGTTAATGTATAGCGGCTGAATTGAGGAGTCGGAGTGCCGAGTCCAAATTCCAGTCCATTACATTAATTTACATGCTAATACCCTTGGGAAAGGTGTGAATCCTCTTCTTCTCCCTCTAGCTATGGGTAAATAGCAGGACAGACTGGGTTCTATAGCCTTGGATGGCTACTGGTCTAGGAGAAGGACAACTCTGAATTCAAACCCAGAGTGGAGCCCCTAAGGTGGTTTCCATCTCAGTATCTATCTATCTAGGTTTCTATCTATTTTGGTTTCTATCTAAGTATCTATCTATCTATCTAACTCGGTTTCTAGCATTCTATTTTGTTTTCTAAGTATCTATCGATCTAGGTTTCTATCTATGTATCTATCGATCTAGGTTTCTATCTATGTATCTATCGATCTAGGTTTCGATCTAGGTTTCTATCTAAGTATATATCGATCTAGGTTTCTATCTAAGTATATATCGATCTAGGTTTCTATCTAAGTATATATCGATCTAGGTTTCTATCTATGTATCTATCTATCTAGGTTTCTATCTAAGTATCTATCTATCTAGGTTTCTATCTAAGTATCTATCTATCTATCTAGGTTTCTATCTATCTATCTCAGTTTCTATCTATGTTTGTTTCTAACTATTTCTAACTATATATTTATATATTTCAGTTTCTAACTATTTATCTATTTAATTTTCTATCTACCTATTCTAGTTACTATCTATCTATCTCAGTGTGTTTATATCTATCTTTTTATTGATCTATTCATATCTATCTCTTAAATTTAGAATTTTTTCTATTCATCTTTAAACCCTAAAAAAAAGCAAAATGCAAACCAGCAAAAAGATATAAAAACTGAGAAAAAAGCAAAGAAAATCACATTTAGAATAAGGATTAAACTAAACAGAACAATGTTATGAGAAATGGTGTGGTCTGTGGTGGTGATTGTAGCAGTGACAGTAGCAAAGGGTCTTTGAATATTTTCAGAGTTTACCTTTAAACTTTCAAGTTAATATCTGCTCATGCATTCGATGTTATCCCAAAAAGGGGCTTACATTGATTCTGATTTTAGGGATGGGGAAGGGGATTTATTGTTGGTTTAAAACATCTGCACGCATAATATTTTGAAAAAAAAAAAAAAATACACATGGATGCAGGGTGGGGCAGAAATAAAATCGCATCATGCCAAGAAGAAGCTGAAAAAGATTATGAATCTAGTAAAGGGATTATTCCACTGTGGAAGAGAAATGTTTATTTCTTTATGGATCAATTAGATTCCAAGAAAGACAGAATTTTGATTCTGATGCAGAAGAAATAGGATGGCAAAGAGATTGGATGAAAAAGTGTGTGCGCACAGACACACATTATATATATATATATATATGTGTGTGTGTATAAAATTTCCTCTTATATAAATCAACTATGAGATAATGTCTACCCCAAAATCGACCAATTCTATTAGATCTGATAAGGTTTTCAACATCTCATCCATAGATAAATTTATAAATATTATCTTAAAAAGATATAACAACCTTACCAAGTTACTGCGGTTTCACCCCTCAGATCAAGGTTTTTCAAACCACCCTGAAAATCTGAGGGGTGAAACAGCTGTAACTTAGTTTTAGTATATATATATATATATATATATATATATATATATATATATATATATATATTGAAATTGACAGTTAATAATTTTTTGAATATGCAGTAATGTGAGGCTAGATTTTTTTAATATTGTAGTAATGTAGTAATTCACAATTTCTATTATTGTAAATATTTTTACGTTGACGTGACAAGAATGATTGGTCCAGTAATCAGTGCAATGTCTTAGAAGATTTCAGAAATTTTTTTTACTTAATTCTTAACTTAACAAGAGTACACTTTTTAATAAAACATCTTTTGACAAGTATCACAATCATTTTTGTCTTGGAATTTTACCTGAAATTGAGAAATATATATATATATAGAGAGAGAGAGAGAGAGAGACCAGTATGGAGTTTTTTTCTTTTTAAATAATCACAATAGACCCAAAACCCTACATTAAATCAAATATATTTCAGTTGAAGTACTGATTTATTAAAGATATTCAGTTCGAAGTAACCAAACAGGCTCAATCTACATAATACATAATACTGCAAGTGGATTTACATCTAATGAAAGGAGCTTAGAAATAATGCCATCAACATAGTCAACGTATAATTTTAATGTAGATGATTCTAAACATGAGACACCATAAGGGAATGGAAAAAAACAAATAGATCAAAGTTTTCTTGAATTTCAAAATCATGAAATAATTCCTATTCTTGAAAATGATCCATGATGACTGAAAGCAGTCCAGTATATAAAAGGAGGTGCGGAAAAATACTAGAGCTGATCAAGAAGCCCTTCTAAAAAATGAAAAAAAATAATTTTGAGGTTTGTTTGTGTTATGGTCCGGTTCCTTGTACCATGGTGATAGTCCAAGGTAGAACCAATAAAGAAGAACTCAAACACGGATATGGAATAACACAAGTATATTACAAACAGGAATATATACAGAGAAGTAGAAAGTGTTAGTACGAACAATCAGGTTTAGTATTAATTGTCTGAACGTGACTCTGTTTCGGACTGCCTCTGACTTGACTGACTGACTCGCTCGCTCTGACTAACTTCATATACTGCTTACATTATCCCCTGATGAGTGGGATGAAGTGATTACTGGAGGGTTCACCTAGGGAACTAGAGTTGGGATGCTGAAGGTAACATTAATCAGTTAAGTAACAAAATTTATATTATTTTTCATATATATATATATATATATATATATATATATATATATATACACACACACAAACACATTTCTTTTATTTTTGTATCTGATGAATCCTAGAATGGTGAAACACACAATCAAATCTGTTTTCAATGAAACATTTTCCATTTGTCAGGATTCTATATATATAAACATATAATGTGCGTTTATATATATATATATATATATATATATATATATATATATAAACATTGTTAAATATAACAGACAAAGAATGTCTATTATGTTTGATCATGAGCTGTTCTAAACTCCATATATTTGCTTTAATTTCGGGTGAAAATAAAGGTAAAAAAATGTCCAACATTTGGATAATTTTATTAAGCTCTTCCTTGATCTAAGCTTTTGGTTCATATAAGCCATATTCAGAGTGGTTATGCAGATATTTAAACAAAGATATTCACCATCAAAGATGATATTCTGTTATGTTGACATAGAAGATTGCTTTGCAATAATAACGGTTTTGGAATAGCAGATGAAAGTCATAAACTCATGATGTGGTTCTATGATGTTGTACCACATGAGAGACCAAAATATTAACAACAGAACCATATGTCTAGATGCAATATATATATATATATATATATATATATATATATATATAGATAGATAGATACATTTTTCAGTATTTTTATAAAAAACAAACATTTAATATCTACTATGTATTATTAGTCACATTTCTAGCTCAGCCTTATCTTCTTGCAATAGTATGCACAATAAAAGTTTTAGCTATATATAACAATTTAAGAAAAAGAAAATATTCTATTTTATAGTACATGAATGCTTAACCAACCAGATATAAATTCACAACTTATCACTTATCTTGGTGATGACCTAAAATAGAATCACTGATACACAATTTTGCACATTTCTTAAAAAAAACAAAAAAAAAAATCCTTTATAACAACAAAAGTATTGTGTAAAATTAAGAAGAAAATAACGAAAGAGGCTAGAATGTCATAGAATCATATTTCTATTCAATTAAATTAAGGAAAAACAAAAAGATCTCCTGCTAATATTCTTAGACATCCAAACATAAAGGCATTACATAAAAGCATATGTTGGAATTAATGTACGTGTATGCATGTACAAGTACCTAGAGTGAAAAGGCTAAAAATTCTTTGAGAACATTGAAATGGTAATCACAGAACATTTTGCCTGCAGGAAATTCCACAGAGTATATAGACTTGCATTATCTTTCTAAACTCAATAGTCTTTGATAATGTGATAAGTATTACATCATATTCTGTACATAAAAATTGGGAACGATTACTTCCACTTCCCCAGAAATGAGTGGAGAACAGTTCTTTACATTCCATTTTATTTAATTCCCATATTTTTTTTATTGTATAGATGAAGTATCTAAAATTAATGTCAAGTAAATTCTCTATATTGCGTGACTAATAAAGTTAAAACAAAAGCAAGAAAAAAAAAAAACATATTAATAAAACAAAAATAAATTTAATTACAGTCTCTCTAGAAAGACTCCAGCTAGTGAATATTGACAAAAAATAACCTTCCTAAGGCAATAGGGCCTTAGTCCTCATCCAAATACACTTGCAATTTTTATCAAGCAGCTTAAACTCATTGTTTCCTTGTGTTTTGTCAAAGAACAGAATGTAGTTCTGGGTTTTTAATCATTTTATCCCAAACAAAGCAAGAAAAACCACTAAGATACAAGAGGTTACCGAGAGTGCAAGAAACGAAGAGGACAATAAAAGAACAGGATTCAAGTGAACAGAAGATAACAATTAACATAGCATTTAAATTTTTGAAGCTGACAGGAAAGCAGGAAGAAACTATCAGCATCAAACTTATTTTTACAATTCACAATTTCAACATTGAAATTATGAGACCTAGCTGCCAATCTAGTACTGCACTTAAATTTGTGAAAGCAAGGTAACCAAGAGGAAAGCGATATTTATTCTGTTTTATACAGAAATGTGGCACAAGGCCGAAAAGGGGATTGGGGAAAGGACGGTCTTCTTCTGTCTTAACTATAACTTAGCTCATCAGAACAATTACCATAAACATATTTATAGAAGAGGCAAAGGGAAGCAGTGGGGAAAATGCCTGAAGCCAAGATGCCAGGACAGGACTGGTAATGTTACCGATTCTTCAGTATTTACTGATATGGCTATGACTTGAACATTATTGACATTTAGGTACTTTTACTGGCATCTTTCAAAATTATAAATATTTCTGTTGCATATAATTAAAATAATTGCACATTTAACAGTGGTCATTTGAAATGGGGATTTTCAAGAGAAATAGGCTATTCCTTCTTGGCCTTGACCTTCTTGGCTTTGGCCTTGTGTCAAACTAGACAAAACTTAATAAATATTGTTCTACTGCTGCACTGTTATAGTACTGTTGCCAGACTGTACTGGCCCATTTCGGGAAAAACTGGAAATTACAATTTACTAGAAGTAAATTTAAATAAATATAATATTAATAAATGTAAAGACATTGATGGGGATTTCTCATACATGCTGCCATTTTGGTTTCAATCAGGAGGATGTGAAAAAGGAAAGTGAAGAAGAAAAAGGTGGAGGAGGAGAAATGTATTGGTGTGGTGGGTGGTAATTGAAATGTACATACTTCTTTAACCATCCTCATGAGATTAAGAGGAATTTTTTGTATGTATGCAATGGCTCATAAGTTCAGTTCTCTGGTTTAAAAGTTTTTGGGATCTGGAAATATCATTATTGCTACTTTTTCCTGCTGGCAGAGGTTTCAAATTTTATTTTATATATATATATATATATATATATATATATATATAGAGAGAGAGAGAGAGAGAGAGAGAGAGATAAAATTTTGCTTGACTAAGCGTATTGAGCACTTTTATGTTTTTACTTAATTTACTGTTAGTGTTTTTTTTCTTTTGAATAGGCATTGCCGTACCGATTGATTATTTTGACCAATGCAGTCTTTTCTTCTTTTTTTACTGAATTTTTTACTAGGTTTTTT